AAAAAATTAAAATAAAAAAAATAAAATAAAATAAAATACACTAGGAGAAGAAAAACTCAAATCCCTAGCTAAATACATTTCCTACTATATTTCTATCAGAAAAAAAGACTGTGCCTCAGGAAGAGAACATCATGCAACCTTGGTCTTAGACAATGGAATGAACAAAGGCATTCTACTTGCATGCTTTAGACCATAATATGGAGAGCATTATCATATTGACCTAATTTTCTACCCTATTAAAAAAACCACAAAATAAATTATGTGAAAAAAATCATTTAGCAAAATGTAATAGTCTAAATCCATCCTAAAAACGACATTCTCTGTGATAGTCAGAGGTTACAATTATCTCACTATCATAACTTACTGAACAAACAGCCAATGAGTATGTAAAAGATGAATGCAAATAGAAAGGCTTGGCTTCATAATTAGTAATTTTAGCAAAGATGCTTTAAAATAGATGAACTTCTTAAAAACTTCAAATGAAAACACAGCAAGCAACAGCTAGAGAGTCTTCCCTCAGTTAAAGATGTATCTGGTTAGAAATCTGAATTTCAAAGAGAAAAGTCATACCAATGACATGGAAAAAAAGTAAAAAGTGGTACTTATCAAACCATAGCAATCAATTTTTTCAATATTTTTACTGATATACTTCACAGACCATAAATGTCACCCTTTTAAGCTGTACGTTTAAGGTAACAAAGATGTGTTTTTTAAAAACATAGGAGTACTACTCTGCCATAAAGAAAGATAGGCTTGAGACAATAAAGAGCACCTTGAAATGATAATCAGACACACATGTGTAAATACCACCTTGTTTCTCCGTTGTAAGAAACTGCAAGTGTAATAAGGACAAAAAATATATTAGGTATTGCAAAACAGGAAGAAAATAGGGACAATCACAAGAGGAGAAGGGAACAAAAGAATACATTAAAGAAAACGAGAAAAGGAAAAACTGGAAACAAAGCTTCTGTAAATACAGAGAGGAGGAGTTGAAGGGAGGACAGGGGAATGGAACAAATAATCAAGTTATATCATGCACAGGTACAAATTCTCTATGATGAATGTGATTATTATATACATAATATAGTAGATATATAAGATAACATATATATTATATAATAGTCACTATGTAATATATAATATATATGCTGTTACATATTATAATATAGCATATTATATAATGCATAGTATATGATGAATAATTTATATAAAATGTACCGATAAAATCTGATTGAAGAAAAAAATACACTCAGTGTTGTTATTCTATTTCAAGACTGTGCAATTGTCATCACTGTATAACTCTGCAACATTTTCTCCTCCTCCAGGACACGTGATGCATGTTAGCAGTTACTCCCTACTCCCCACCCCTGACCCCAACAAACACAAGTCTACTACACATTACTATGTTTCCTATTTGACGCAGTGTAACAGGACCACACGTGCCTAAGGGATGCAGCCCACATTACCTTTCTGGTCTGCTTCTCTACGTCTTGCTCCTCCTCTGCCCTGGCCTCCAGGAGACATGCTAAGTTGCTCTCACCTCAGGGCTTCTCACAAATGTTCTCTATTTTGATTTCACATATATTCATATGGTTAATTTGTCATTTACTTTTTTTTTTTTTTTTTTTTGGTACCAAAGACCAAACTGAGGATCTTGCTCTTGCCAGGCAGGCACTTATGCTGCTAAGCCCTGTCATCTACTTTTATTTATTTATTTATTTTTTTTTTCATGAAAACTTATAGAGATTAATTTTATTTTTTTTTCGAAGTTTTATTGATAAACAGATAGCAATGAGACAGTTTCAAATCCAATCGGAAGTACAGTTTCAACAAATAATACACTGCATATATTCTTCTAAGTGGTTAATTGCTGTACAAGAAGTGGACTTGTGATCCTATTTACAAACACCATTAGAACAAATCATTCTATTCATTAAGAGAATGCAACTATATATCTATCCTAACCACTTGGAATACACAAATACAAAATGGACATTCATCTGTATACCCCATTTTTTCTAAGTTCCGTTATTGAATATTATAGGTGTGTAAACTCAGCAAAATATTCTAAAAGAGTCCAGTAGCCCATAATAGCATTGGGTCTTCTGTTTAACTGGCAATGTCAGAAATTATTGACCTGAGTCCCCCACAGCTCAACATAACAGCATGGCTTTATTTCCTATATTTCATCTTCATACTTTTCTACTGGATGGTTAAGACCAAGGTAAAGCAGGACCTATGCAACAAGAGTTGTAGCTTTTTGGTCTGAGAAGGTCAGCGAAATGTCCTCAGGATTTATCTTGAGATCCCGTACCTCAGATTGTAGAACCTTTATCAGTGCAGCCATGTGGATGAGTCATGGCCATGTCATCTACTTTTAAGTTTTGCTTAATATCACAATCTCAAGCCCAGCTTTCATCTCTAGTTTTCTTCTACAGGGCTTACCAACTTTTAACATTCTTATTAATTCCTATTAATAAGAATTTAAAGTTAAATCTTATAACTTTAAAATGTAATGAAAGATTACATTATTTCTATTCTTCAGGGAAAATAAAATCATACTATAACAATAAACTGAACTAGACCCTTGATTTGCTTATTCCATACCAAAATCTAAAAATACTCACAATTCTTTCAAGTATTTATAAAACAATTTCAAAAATCTTGACAGTCACAGTGTCATTCAATATGCACTGAGACTGTGTGTGGGAAATGCTTGTCATCTGCAAAAGCAGAGGAGGCCGCTGTGGCCAGTGACCTTCAGAGCAGAGGTGAACGCAGGACGATGACACGGGGCACCACGTAAGCATAAAGGAGCTGCACTGCACAGCAACACTGAAGAGAGGCGACGCCCACACACAAGCTGCTGGTGGAACTCAAAGGAGAAAAGACCAGCTTTCTCCAGAGCAGCAGCAAGACGCATCCTGCAATGTGTCTTCCAGGCTGAGCAGCACCATAAGACAGACCTGCGACCTACAGCCATGAGCTCCCAAATGCATGTCCATCAAAGTCTCACCAAATTGGAGACGAAAAGAGAAACACCTGTTTCATCTTTACCGCTGGAATGTGCTCCTGTGTCTTCATGGCTTAAGGAAGCTTTGAAAATAAATTCAGTTTTATATTCAAAATGTTAATGTTAGGTTAGCTACAAAGAGTTACTCCATCTTTTCTCTGAACAAATGCCAATTTTCATAAATTCAAATTTATTACCAGTATCTGTCTTTCTAATACAAAATGACATATTTGAAGCATGTTTCAAGTTCATGAATAGATTCATCTATAATCTGGCATTATCTGGAGAAATATTACAAACCCCACAGTTTCAAAACTTTATAATTTTATTTATAATTTCTTTATAATTTTATATTTTCTGTCTTTCTAGATTTCCATCAAAATATTTCTTATAATTGAATGTACAACTGATCAGAAAAATTTATCATTTATATTATAATGGAAAATGTCCTTGAAAAATCCTAAAGAAAACACTGAAATGACCATTTCTCTTTAAATTAATTCAGTATTTTAAAGGGTCTACTCTTTGATTAAAGTAAATCCAGAAATACATGATTGCAATTTCTGAAGGCTTTAACATCTTTTAAAAAATCTTGTTTTGTCCTTCATAAGAAGAAATATTTGAACCCCTATGTATTCAGAAATACATGTTTGCAAAACTAACATAACAATTCCCCTTGAACATTTTTCTTTGTATAAGTTTAAACATAAATGAAAAGGTATTTCT